GCACCCATTCACTGCAGAGGATCCGTTGCTGAGCAAGTGATGGAAAGCTATATTTCTCCAAGAAAGAAACTCATCTACATCTCGGATGGCCTGAAGGTGAGCATTTTCAGCACATTTTCAACTCTGGGTGAACTATTCCTATAAACAAAGTGCTTTTTTATTCATAGTATAAGATAACAATTTATTCAAATGTGAAGCAGACAATGTTAAAACACATTTTTCCTAATTGCATTGTATGCATAACCTAAAACTAAAACACAATCCATTGTTTCTTTTTTCCCCTTTTCAAACACACATCACGTCTAATGTGACCTCCTCACCACCAGGGGTCATTTGCATTTTTCAAACTCTCAAATCAAACATCTCAATGCACTTCCCTCCTTCTCAGTTCACCCACTCTACAACCATTACCTTGATTTTAGCCCAAGCGGATATTACCAGCAGATCTCTCTATGGCATGTAAAATCATGCAACCCCACAAGCAATGGTGGCTTTATTTGACAGATTTATTGAGCTGATGCTGAGTGAGAACGTTTCCCATTTGCTGCGTGTGACGAAATCACAGAAAGACACCAGCAGGGTGTCTTTACGCTTTTACTCGCAGGCGATTTTGCCATCAAAGCTGGAGAGAGCGATGGCAAAGGCTTGTACGGCACACAGAGGATACCTGAAGTCCAGAGTGAAGGCATCGTCTGCTACTCTCCCAAACTGCATCACAATGTAGTCCTCTGAAATGTAGCACAAAAAAGGGTCATGCAATGCTTTATTTGCTTAGCAGACATACCAATACTAACACTGATTAACATTTTGCATGTATTTTTCAACATCAAACTGTTCAGAGTGCTGATAGGCACTGCATATTGCACAGCGTATACTGCACACTTCGTACTATTACATACAAATAGTGAAACAGTACGCAAAGTATCAGTATGGAATATCTTCAAATATGATTATTTTGCATTTTTGTGAACAAATGTCTTCACTTTTGACAGTTACTCATCAATAGAGAGATTAAAATAGCAGCTAATATTATTTCTGGTACTTTTGTTACACTGGAAATGGATAGTGAAGTCAAGTGCATTGCCTTGTGGGATATTAACAAATTTGGCAGACACTTTTTCAACAACTTCGAGAGCATTTAATGTGCACAAGTTATCAGTATATGCCCAATGATCATGTTGATTTTAGAACCATGCTCTAACGCAGTACCACTGTCATTGTGAACTAAAACGGTTACATTTTAAATAGTTTTTTAAGAGTTGAAATAAAATATAAATATTAGATTTAATAAACATACTTCTGCAACTGACAGGAATACAATTGCAGTACTAAAATTACTAAAACTAAAGCTGAAGTAATAAATAAATGTTAAATAGAAATATTTAAAAACTTTATTAAAATTAATTATTAAAAATGGAGGGGGGGGGGGACTAAATTATTCAAATTAAAATGAAAATTCAAAAAAAAGAAAATATTTATAAACACTATAAAGCACAGATAATAATATGTTGTATTCTTTACATTTGCAATTGTACTTGTTCTGCATACTGCAAAATAAGTAGCATTCAAGTATGCTTTTTCAAACATACAGTAGCTTTTGTTTTAGAGCAATATCAACAGCTCTACAGAGATATGGTTGAGTTACTTACGGTCTTTGTTATGCACAATCTGGAAATTTTTGATGGAGGCCTGTGTGACTCTGCCATTGAAGTTTAACACGTGTGACGCCGTCTCTTCATTCCACGCTGGCGTCTTATTGCGCAGCTCTATCACGTTTTCCATATTTCTGTTTTGATGTCTAATGAGGAGGCCATCATTTTCCTGTTGGGAAGCAGTAGATTCAGATGCCATTTTAACAAATAATAAATGAAAAAAAAAAAAAAAAAAAAAAATAAAAATAAAAAAAAAAA